TTGGGTATTTTCAATAATTTCTCACTTCATACTCTTTTTTGCTTCTATATTTAAGAGCCTGATTGGTACAGATTCTCATTTTCTACAATAAATTAATTCTCATTGTCAACCACACATTTTTCAGTAAAAATAATATTTTCCATCACATAAGTACTTTTTTCTTATTTTTCAACAACACATTTCCCATCATATCACTATTCAAAAATTAATTCTTCCCCCAAAAATCCATACCAAACACACTCTTATTGGATTTTTTGTTTTATTGGTTTAGAGTTAAATTTAGATTTTAATTTAAGTCAAAAATAATAATTAACTTTAATCGCATATTTTAATATATTCATAATTTTTCAATCATACATTTAATCAAGGGTAAATTAGGTCCAATACCCCTACAAAAATTAACTAAATTGACCAATACCCTACTAATTAATTAAATCATTTAACACGTAATTAATATTTTATAAAACTCCTCAAAATCCCAATCCCTTGAACAAACCCCAAACCAAAACGTAATTCAACAGCTATTCGTCGTGTTTATGTATGAATGCCTTTGCTGTGAGGGCGGATGATGCTAATTTAGATCCGACGTCGAGGTTGGATGCTGGTCGTCTCCGATGCCTTCATTTGCTCTTCATTGCTATTGTCTATCATTAGGATTATCATGCTAAATATACATTATTTTCAAAATACATTTTTTTCTCTTTTATTTTTAACTACACATTTTTCAATAAAATAATATTATACACAAATTCCAAATTTTCCTTATTTTTTAACTATTCCAAAATGCATTTTTGGGGGAAAAAAATGGGGCTCAAACATGCTCCTAATTTTAGTTATTCTTCTTTGTTCTAGTGTTTTTCCTAAGCTTTGATTAGGATCCTTTTATGAAGTATCGGTTGAAATCAAATGTTGATGTTTGATGTCATGTTTTGAGTGACCGTTTGCCTGTAGGGTTGGTCTTGGTGGAGATGGTGATGGTGGTGGAATAATAGTTGAATTTGCATAAAATGATATATTTTAAGGTTTTGATTGATGTTTTGTAGTGAATTGCCTATTTAGTCACTGAACTTTCAGCCATGCACGCAAGAGGTCACTGAACTTTCAAAATAACGCAATTAGTCACTCAACTTCACAATTCATAATCCCAGCAGTCATTGAGCACACAAATTGAATGAAATTTCCACGTGGCAGCTGACGTGGC